ACAAATTAACTTAAAATATGAGAAAAAAACATCTTGTTATTATCAATTTAATGTACCATTAGAATCAGCTATATTTACTTCGAATCTTTATTTATTGATTTTTTAGTTTGTTCCATTTTTTAAAAAGAATGAGAAAGAGGGAAAAATCTTCAACAATACAATGTAATAAACCTTTTTACCTGCATAAACCTGTCTAACTGTAAAAACCTGTATATGTGTACCTGATATCAGTTATTTGAAAATCAATTACACATTTGAACATTCTCAACATGTAAACAGATTTTTTCATTAATCTTACACTTTATACCAAACAATATTATATTTATTTACTTTAACAATAAAGAATTTATTTTAATTTTTGATGAGATGATAATTCAGAATCCTAAAATTAAACTTTCTTTGCTTGAAAATAAGTATGAATGAAAAAAAAAAAAGTATGGCTAATTCTGCTTTTACGTTTGTATTATTTTTATTGATGTTTTCGTCTTAATAGTTAAATAAAATTTCTTTTCACGTTCTCGCAGTTTTATATTTTTGTTCAGTTATATACCCATTCACTCATGCTGGTTCAGTGGTTTATTTATTAAAAAAAGTTATTCCTTTATCCAATTTTTCGTGCACTTATTTAAGAACATAGTATAAATGGAAGGAACGTTATGATATGTTTCGGGTCTATGACATTGATATTAAAATTAAATCAATAATAAAATTTTAGTTGTTTGATGGATGAAGAAATATACATAGAATTTAAAGAAACTAGTGCCTTCAGGGAATATAAATACTTTAAAAATTATTATTCATTATTCGTTGAGTTGAATCTTAGAAACTCCTTAATAAGAAACACTAGCATCTATCTATATTTATTTTTAATACGGTGGACATTTAGAATGTTTTTTATTACTATTCCACCTTTGCTTAAAAGGTTTAAAATTTGGTACATCTGCACAAGGCTGGTTGGTATTAACGCATGAAATCGATTTTACAGTTTTCTAATAAAACAGAAAGATAGATAATATCATATCATAAATAAGCAGGCTCCTTCCAAATATAAGGGAAATAAAAATATCACAGTAATAGAAGAAAAACCACTTCACTTCAGAATGAATTTTTTGGTTAAACTTAAATTTAATAAAATACTGTCGAAATTACTGAGCGCTGTAGGAGTTGTGGAAAAGTCGATGAAACAAAAAAAAAAAAAAATTGAGATCCTCATGTCCGCTACTCGAAAATTTATAATGCCAGATTATAACAGTTATTTCTGGAAATCATTCATTTTTTATTTTATTTTTTTAAACTTAATTTTTCAACTCGCACCTGTCAGAAGTTCCGAAAATCAGCGATTGTGATGTCAAGATGTAGAAGATTAATTGGTCTTGGAATAGGCGTGAGGGAGAGGAGTGCCCAGCGGTGTCCTTCCTGCCTTGAATATAATGTTTATAGTTAGTGGAGGAGATCCCTCATCCTGCTTCTTTTAAGCATCCTTCGCGACTCGGGTATGTTAGTTGTGGCCATGCCTCGAATCAATGAGTTCGTATGTCCGTGCAAGTTATTATGAAATCTTTTGTAGTATTTTCGTATGTGGTCGTTAACTGTTGGCATCTGTAAGTCTTTATGTAAAGTAATGTTACTAACTTACCAGAGAGCCTGGTGAAAGTTTTAGATTGAAAAGTCTGTAGTTTATGTATGTAAGTCTTTTTGGCTGTCCCGTATATCTGTGAAGCATAGGTCCAAATGGGCTTAAGTAGGTAAGTATACGCATTCTTCAATTTCTGTCTAAGTTTTAATCTCGAATTTCTTGAAAGGAGTGAGTACGATAGTCGTAGTCTTAGGTTTAGAGTTTTTGTTTTGTTTTTGATATGTGGGTCCATGTCATTCTTCTGTCATTCATTTTAAATTGTTTATTTTGCTCACTTCTTTACTTTTCAATCTTTGTTTTTAGGTATATTACTCAGTTTTTTTTCAAATAATCTACATTGACTGAGAAAACACCTACAATTATCATGTTCATTTTCGGGGGCGAGGAGGGGTAGGAATAACAATGGATTTCAATTGAAAAAAAAATGTTGTATTTTTCCAATTGAGACATTATTTCTGTTCAAGTCAAGCACCTGTTCAACGACTATATCTGATGAAACTGGAGCAGATAAACTAAAAGCTCTTTGCCCCCGAGGGCAATGAGAGAAAGCAACAGATTAACAACTAGTTAGCCCAACACGAACTGCAGTTAATTCTGAAAGATTAGAGGACTACGTGACCACGAGTCTATCCAATGGAGGAGAATTTGCAGCTGACGTGCCACCGCAACTCAAGTGCCAATAGCGGTACGGTTTCTTATGTGACAGTACCGTAAAGTCAACATGAGGATAAAAATCTTCCAATCACTCCCACCCCACATCGCATTATAACGGAAATCGTTATGGGGCTTCATTAAATAAAACATCACAAACGAAATTCGAGTATTCTTAGCAGCTGAAACTCCGTTCATTCAATGTAACATTATATGTGCAAATTCCTAAAATCAGAGCAGACATCATCGATGGCATCGAATTCATGGAGCAAAACGGTGCCATAGAGCTCAGCTTTGAGTTTAGGAACTTATCCATATGAAGTACCATTAAATGAACTGAAGCTCAATTGCAATGAATACTCCGATCTCGTTTCACATTTTTTATTATAAAATAGGAACGATTGATTATGATTGCTGTTTTAATGAGATGAGAGGGTGATTATATTTTAGGAACTTACCTTATCTTTTTAATCAACCCATTTGTAAATATTTTCTCACCGTTCGATATTCGGTGAGAATCGAATATTCATATTTTATCTAATACAACTTCTAAAAATTCTTGAAGAATTCTTGAACTATGCCGAAATCAAAAGTTAATATTCAATTTAATGATTATAGTGATTTTTTGTGTTTTTTTTTATAAATCCATCCCTTAATTGAATAAATTATTTCAAAATTAACATTATATTTTGTTACATGAAAATACAGTGTTATGCACTCGATTTTGAGAAAAAATACCCTAATTTCTTATCATACAAACGTAACTCAGCCACATAATCTGGACGGAGTCCAAACGGCGACAAAGCATATGATAGAATTATTATTTTTTGAAAGTTATGAAGGCAATATTTAAGAACTTCCTCTTGGTTTATGCCCGTTCTCAAATGTCCGATAGATAAATGGAAAGCGTATGAGATGCGTCTAACAGTAGAAGATAAAATAATGTTTTCACTGTGGAAGAAATTATTTTAAATATTTATACTAAATTATCTAAATGATGATTTTAATACTTAAGATAAGTAATTTATTATGACCTGTTATATATCGTCGTCATTCCAAAGCAAAAAGATAGGAGAAATAAGAAACAAAGTCTGTCGATGAGAGTAAAAACGAAAAAAATGCGACACATTAAGCACGTGGTAGGCCTTATTATAGTCATGTAGATCAGTCTTTTATAATTGATTGGAAGGTTAGAGCGTTTGTCTAGTAAGTGTTGAAGTAGTCGGAAACGTCGAGCGGTTTTTTGTCGTTTCAGTCTGGTATGAGGATTCCAAGTTAGACGTTTGTCCAGATGGAGTCCTAGGTAACGGATTTGTTCAACAGGAATAAGTGAGGTGTGGTTAAAGGATACAGAAGGACAGGAAGTCATTGGTTTACGACGAAGGGTGAAGGTAATTTGATGGGATTTATTAGAATTTATTTTAATTCTCCAGTTCTGACACCATTCTTCAAGGTTTGTGATGTGGGATTGAAGGGTTTGGGATGCAATAGATGGGTCGTTATTGACTGATAGGATACATGTGTCATCAGCATATGTGGTGATGACAGACTAACTTATCTAAATGATGGTTTTAATACTTAAGATAAGTGATTTATTATGACCTGTTATATATCGTCAGTTCATTCCAAAAAGTCACATGTTTTTAGTGAGTTGAACTTATATGTATATTTATGTGAATTTCGATCTTATTTATCTGAACAAACTAAAATGACGCAAACTCTTATATATTTCAAATATAGTAATACAATTTCAAACAATTGAAATTTTATAAGAAATAATTTCTATTCAATTTTAATTTAAATAAATAAATTAACATTAACCGAGAAAATTAATTGCAACGGTATGTTTTTTCTTTACATCCATTATAGAAACCAAAGCCTCTTATATTTAAAGGCTCCTTTAAAATGTAGCCTTCATTTTCTAAACTTGAGAAGTTATGTCATTACATTATAATGGACCGCGATAATCTTTCTATGTATTTACAACATATTTATTTTCGATGAATGAGGAGACTTTTTCAAAACTATTTATAAGTAATGAATTGGTCCGAAAAATTAGAATAAAAGCTTTTTCTTACAATACTAAGATAAAAATAGAGAAATTATGATAGCGAATTAAAGCCTGTCGAAAGGAAAATATATGTCTTATGCCTTTTTAAAATATTAGTCATATTTAGGAAAAATATTTTCTCTAGACTTCAGTATCATTCAAAATACTTATCTATACTATTCTAAAACAATGATCCATCAACTGACTGTCTTTGTTTACAAAAAAGTATATGGTAGAAAATGACAACGTACCAAAGTACTTGGAAAATGAAATATTTTGAAAAGTCACATATTGAAATATTTTCAAACGCTAACGTTCAAGTAATATGAAAGGATTAGGGGTCTTTTAAGAATTGGTTGAATAATAATTCTAAACTACATTTGTACTCATCCCTTGATTTCGTGTCGTATGACTAAGGAAATACGACGTTATTTAATAGCTGCGTACCATAGAGGTTCGCATAGGGGTAGTTTCTCCAAGATTATGCCCTTTATAAAGTACTTGTAGATTGGATTTTTTTCCCTCGTTGCTCAATGCTGAAATCAGCCAATGGTTTATTACTATAGGCTGTTTAAGACTCGCGTGTTGAGCTAACTCTGTTGACCTTTAACTCGCGGGGATTCCTCACAGCTGGCATTTATTTCAAGGCAAGTGACATTTCAAATGCGGCATTTATATCCTAGCATCGGTGCACCGCCCTTTCGTTCTCGAACGAAGGGTCTTCGTCAGATCCTAGCGAACCTGTTCAGCGGTAATCTCAGCAACGTCGATAGTTCGGCTGTACAGATATCCAGTATGCCGAGATACAGAATTTTGTATGCCGTGCTGGTCGAGTGAGTTAAGGCGTCACCTTAGCTAACCCGACTCTGAAGCTGCGGAGGCTAGATTTTACAACGGCTGGGTTTAAATTTACTTCTTGGCCGAAAGACGAAATGTCTATTTGTTGCAAGACCAAGATCAAGACTGTTCCTGTGTTTCTTCCAATATTTTATATTTTATTACTGATGGAATCTACTTCGATATTATTGATTATTGATATCGTTGCTATAGTACTTTAATTTAAAAATTAAAATTAAAACTATCGTTTTCGGAAATTTCTTGAGATTGTATATGAATCTGATCGTTGAAAAATATTATACTCGTCTTGCTACTTCCTAATATAGAGTGTAGTGCGTATTAAGCTTAGAATAACAAGAATGGGACAGGAACAAAGAAATTAATTTTACTAAGGACTGTAGATGAATTGATGTTTCAATTAATGATTTAAATAGGAAACTTTTTTTTATTCCCCTATGGGCCAAAGAATCAATATTTATACCAATATTCATATTTCCAAATTAGTGATTTTTCAGAAATGTTTATAATATCGATGGAAATATTAACTCTCGATAGTATCTATATTTGAAGTACGATATTTTGATGGTACCGATGGTTATAGGCTGATATTTCTATCGATCACTATATCGATTGGGCTTTCGATGTCTCATCTCTACTCTTGTATTTCACAGTTACGTCAAGTTGATACTTGGATGTTTTTGAGTATTTATTTTCAATATTGTTCTTAATAAACATTACCTAGTATCGGTATCAAAACCACAATACTTTCCACCCAACAATTCAAATCGTCATAACTCTAAAAGTTATTTTATTAATTATTATATTTTGTAGTATAATAAGGTGTTTTAACAATTCAACCTTCCATTAAATCTATACATCCTTTTTTTCTTAGCTCTCAGTAGTAATAACAAATAATATCAAAAAATACCGGATCTACATAAAAAAAAAAACAACAACACATTTTTGTAAATAATGATTAAAAATGATTTCCTGGTGTTCAGAATCTATTCAGCAATATTGCAATACAGTGTACACCTTATACTCGTATATGTACCTCCCTGATATTATACGATATAATAGGAACAGACAAAATTCCATCTCTGATAAAACTTCGCTACAAAGAACAACTGGTTTTCCTTCCCTACGCCATATTTTCACCCGAACCATACATCAGTAGGTACCCATTTTTCGCACCCTCCTGATATATTGGGCGTCATAAAACCAGAGCTTATCCTCCAGAGACTTTGCACAGCCTGGGATAAACCATGGAGGTACTGTTTTCTATGGTTTGATGGAACACATACCATCTGTAGTCGTTGAAGCGCTTCGTTCTTAATTCCAACAATTCTATACTCTTTAAAAATAAATATTAATAAGAATAAATGTAAAATTTTCTTTTTCCGAATAGTAATTGTTTCGAAAGGGAATTTAGATTTCGAATTCGTATTCGTGTTGATGAAAGTTTTATAGAAGGCCAGTTTCTTTAGTCCAATTTTTTTTTTTATTATTTTTTTTTAAATAAATAAATTAAACAATAAACTCGCAATAGCAATTAATCAAATATTTACCCGACTGCAGTTGTAAATTGTATGGTTCAGATTAGTTTGATAAGAAAAAAAAAATGATTTTATTGCACTATCATTAGACTTAGCTGATTCCTGTCATGAAACAGGCAGACACCACTTGCTTATCATTAAAATACAATTTCAGTAATCAAATACACATCGGAATACAGTAATCGGGTTTTGAAATGGCCGAATATCGAATTAATTATATACCCTCGAGTAATTTGTGTAATTTTGTTTCTGTATAGTACTATTTTCTTAAACGGAAAATAATTAATGAAATTAAATCATAAATAATAATCCAGGATACATTAGCTCTGATATAGGCATTGGAAATTGAAAATAATTATAATGTATTAACAATTAGGTGAATACATGAACTTCGATTGCTATTATTATACTTACGAAGGGTAGGAATTCGATCATTGTATCTTTCGTTTTTGTTCGTTCGAAAATTATCTTAGTTAAACGTTTATAGCTGAGGAAATTCAATTATTCAGGTATAGAAATAATCTCTCGCTTCTTTTTTTTTTTTTATTAATAACTCAAATATTTATGTCCGTGTTTATTAATATTATTATTATATTTATTTATTGCGATATATACCAAGTAAGGAATACGCTTATATATTATTTCATGAATTTCCATTTTTCCTATACCTTCTTCATCTTCTCCCTACCTCCTTTGTTTTTCCCTCCACCAAGAGAAAATTCTTATCATCTACTTTCTTTATGAACTTCTGTCTGTCTTGGTAGTTTTCTTCTCTGATCCTAGTCTCTTTAATTCTTCTTAGATCTGCTAAGGGTTAACCTTTGATCTTCTTAAGTGTTATCATTTTGTTGAAGATCCACTTGTTCAAGCTGTCCTTTCCCATCCTCTTCAAGTGACCGTAAAACTTCAACCTTCTTTACTCATATAACACTAGGTCTTTAATGTATTCGTACAGCTCCTTGTTCTTTTTTAGCAATAATATTTCCTTGGCCTATTGATAAAACTCTAAAATTTTGTGAATTGCTTCATCTCATACTAATCTAAAACATTTTTATCTACCGAAAAATTGGCCTAAAAGAATATTGGGCCATTTGTCCTATGTAACCTCATTATTTTTAAAAGTTGGGATCCACCTTCACAGACACACCAAACGGCTCAATACTTTTGTATATCACATTTTTTCTCACTTCTTGTGATCAAATTATCTTACGATTCAAATTTGAAAGGAAATTTTTTTTCATGAGTTTTTAGTACAAAATTAACTGGTCTGTAGATTGAAAACGCTTCATTTTCGAGAATTTTAATAAATATCGAAGCTCTAGGTTGCGACAAGATGAAGTCGTTCACGAAGGTTTTGATGGATGTTAATTTTTTGATAAAATGAAATCTGTACCGCGTATTATATCTTTCTATCTATTTTCAGCAGTTCCTGTTTGCTAGAAAAACCTATTTTATCCGCTCCATAAAATCGCACCGGTTTTACTACCGTCTTATAGTTATTTTAATAATATATTATTATTATATATATTTTTCTCGTGTATTATTGATAACTTATATCGTAGAATATCTTTTCGTACCAATAAAATCACATTAATTGTTTTGTTTTCTCCAAATGAGGATGGGTGTTCAACCAATAACCACAAATAACCATCAAAGGGACTATATAATAGAAAAATCACTGTTTTATTGTAAATCTTCAATCATTCATGGAAAAAAAAAATCGAAGCAGCCATATGCTGTGTATTATTGATAGCAACCCTAGGAGCGGTTAATGGAGAACACAAGAGCTCATATAAGGCCATAAATATCTAATACAGTAACGTATGTTCCAGAGGCTGGAGCCCACCATACCTGGAATGTAGTCCAGTAATTAGGATAGAGCATTTTGTCTGCAGGCTAACCACTCCGTCCCTAATTCCTTCTCTAATTACATCTAATGCTATGAAAATTTGATTATGTACCACTCTCGTCATAAAATGCCTGCAAAACATCGCCTCGTTTCCCCCTCTACTCTTATTAGCAAGGAAATTTTGAACAATTTGTTTCCTCATTTACAAAACGTAATTAGGAGTGGTTAATTTTCGAAATTTTACAGTTCCATTCGGTTAAAAATGTTATGTTATATTTTAATTAAAGAATGCTTTTTTTTTTTTTTTTTTTGTATGGGTTCAAATTTAGTTAACTTGTGTTAATTGTATGTAATGAATATTAATTTATTTTTTGTGTATATTATTTTTATCCCTTAATAAATACAATATAATATGAATGTTTTATCGTTATTAAAGACAGTAAATATTTAAATTAAATTTACCATTTATTTTTACAACAAAAAAAGAAACGGTAATAAATATAAATTTTTATTGTTTTATGTGTTAACATTAATCATCATTCAGTTTATTTTTTATTATTTTTTTTTTAAAGATATATTTTTAATGAATTTAAAAAACGTCAAAAAATAAATAAACCAATGAATTAAGTCGATAAATCTAAATCAATATACTTCTTTAAAATAAATTAATAAAAATTACCGTTTTGGTTGATATAACATCAAGACAGTGATAGATGGTCGAAAATGTTCTTTATAAACGATGTTTAATTAAGCCAAGATTAATACTTAATCTTGGATCAAGTAAGTAATATCTATAGCTGTAACATTATAGTGTTATTATAAATTATAATGAATAGTTAATGAATTAATCATGCTAAGTTATCAAACAAAACATTGTACTTCCGATTTTTTTATACTGGACTATTTATCCACGAAATCTTATTAATATTCATGCCTCTCAAATATAAACCCCTTTAATTGCAAGAAAAAAAAATATTTTCAAAGAACGAAAGTTTGTAATAAGCGATAATAATCTTAAATATATTTTAATTTTTTTTCAATTTTTATATAAATCTTAAAATATGTACACTTTTTTAAACCATAGGTGGGGAACATTTTTATCATTAGAGGCCGCAGAAAGGTTAGACAGTGCTAATGTAGGCCACAATTCTTTATATTTGCCGTTGCTATTTTTATTTATCACTAAATACACATATCCGCATACATACATTCAACTTAATGCTATTGATTTTTTTTTCTAGAAATATTTAAATAATTAAACACCAAATATATAATATATATACACAATAAATACAGGGCTAAAAAGTTTGGAGGTCGCTACTACGTCACAGAGGCCACTTACGGCCTCCGAGGGCGCGGTTCACCACTTAAGTTATTTACCCTCTATCTTAGGTTGTGGAGGGAATATTAACTGAGTTTAATAGGTCATAATTAGTAAAAATGTTATTTAGGCACAATTAGCTTTTTCTTTTCTTCATGCCTTCCTACGCACTCTTCATGGATGGGACAGCAAATATTTTGTTGAATTCGAATTAGAAATTTCAAGCATGAGGAATCAGTACCTCTTTTCGGTCTTTGTTTAGTTTCTTAAGAAAGGAGATCTCTCACCCAGTACCTTTTCAGTAGCCTTCTGATAAACGTGTTAACAAGCCTAGGTCATACGTCAGTCTGTTGTCGTGTCCCTGAAGTTTATTATAGTATCAGAAATAAAGAATACGTTTGTGTTGATCAATAGTTGTTATAAGGTGGTGTTTACAGGGGGTCACAGTTCATAATAGCCAAACTCTATGGGCACATTCTAGACAAAATTTCCAACTAGAAAAGGAGATAAGACCAATTTTGTGTCATTCTTAAGGTGATCACGTTTTTTTATTGAATAAGAAGAAATTGCTCCAAAACTGCTCAAGATAATTAAGTTCCAAGAACACAATCGTAAAGTAGACAAAATTTCCTTTAAGAAAACTGTGTCAACTTTACCAAAGTAAATGATCAAAGGGACTTTTAGAAGGTATATTACGTACGAATCAGAAATATAATTTTCAATTTAAGTACTGTAAGAGCAGCAGTACACAGGTCGTATTAGGCCTCCTGAAAGTTCCTTTTATCATTGACCTTAGTAAATTCAATCACTGTTTTCTCAAAAGCAGTTTTGTCTTATTTACGGTGGTTCACTTAGAATTTAGTTATCTTCAACGATTTTTGACCAATTTCTTCTTATTCATAAAAGTCCGTGAACACCTTACAAAGAAACAACAAAAATTGGTCTTCACTCCTTTTCCGTTCTAAATTGGCCCATGCATCAAATAAATGTCTAGAATCACCTTCCAGAATTTTGCCATTAAGAACTTAGATACACTGTAGAGCGCATACTATATATATGTATATATATACCTTAAAGTTTTGGGCTGAAGATATCGTTGTTTTTGTAAGAGTGAAATTCTAGAGAAAATGTTCCTTATTCAATAACTCTCAGAAAAATGGGCAGTTTCTCGTTGCAGCCGCCCCTAATGACCACCCCCAGAGACAGAAAGCCCATAACCCGGTACAAATCAGGGCCATTGCAGCGGGCCTAAGACGCTGCAGTGTTGGTGCAGATACGACACTAGATCTCTCGGCCTATCGGACGGTTTTATCACCGGCTCTTGCACATATCGACCGCCGAGGCTGCAAGTAATATCCAGGCTGGGTTCTGGGCCAACTTGGACCGCTACCAAACTCCCTCAGACAAAAACCAACAGCGATCATATCTGTTAATGGCCGCGGGCTAATTATACGAGAAGGCAACTATCCTTTAACAAGCCCCCTTGCCCATTATAGATGGTAATTGCTTTATTATACCCTCTTCTCCTCTTCATTTTGTTTTCCGGCTTTACTTATATCCGAGTTTTCCTTCGTATATTTTCTCACCTCGCTAAGCTACCAGATAACTGTCAGCAATGCCATTATACCCGTCTATATATGTACATTTTTTTTTTTTTTTTATTTGGCAAATTATGATTTCAATTTTTTTTAAATTAGTATTTTCATAATAATATTCTGAAATATTATGATAATTACAACAAGGAGGATTATTGCGGTCGTTTAAAATTATGAATCCATTTTCCAGTGAAAATACACGTTTTCAGTTCAGCTGGTACTAAATAACCATGAATCGCAAAATGGCCTATGTTTATATGCATACCTGAACAAAGAAAAGCTGCATATAATTTTTTTTTTTTTTTGTTTTTTTTTCGTTCAAGATTATAATCATAATCCTACATTTCCAGAAATTTATGTTTTGTCAAAAATTAAAGCCGTAATTTTATTCTTCTAATCAATTTTCTAAGCTGATAGTGTCCTTTATGATCTTTCTCTTTTATTCTTTTAGTCATATTGAGGGCCGATTCCTCGATATATTTCCTCCTCTCGTTGCTAAAACGCTTACACGATCCTCTTAAAACGCTAGGTGTAGTGGATCCTCGACTTCGTAACATAGCTCACGATAAGGTGTCTTCTTTACTAGTATAAAGTATAAGAATTTATTTGCATTGTCACGATTGGTTCTAAAACCTAATTAGGTTTGTCACCTCACTAATATTGCCCAAAATCGGTCTTGGTCTTGCATTTTGCAAGACCAAGATCAAGGCCACCTAACTGTTGCAGAACCAAGACCAGGACTGGTAAAAAAAAATCGATTTTTTAAATAATAATTAAAGTAAAATAGTTACTACTACTTGGCAATCTTAGTTACTATATGTTAATAATTGGTATAACCAATATACTTTTGCATTAAACTTCTCTAATTTTTTATTCGAGCTTAGTTAGGTTTCTTCTATCTAAAAAATTACAGTAATATCTATATAGTAATAAGCTAATAAGTAGCTACAAGACTCTTGCGCAAGACCAAGACCATGACCAAGACTGAGTTTGCGAGACCAACACTCGTCTCGGTCTCGCATTTGGGCAACACTACAAACCACGATTTTAAAGACATTTTTAGATGGATTAAATAGTGATCTCTCCCTTTGTTTGAGACTCCCAGTCATATAAATTCTGCTATTCATTAACGATTGTTTGACTTAGGGACCGGTTAATGTCTGAAACTGAAATTACGCACTTAAGGTACGTTATGCCTGGTATGTTATTGAAATATTTTCGATGAAATAGATTAATCAGGAGTGAATTGTACGATATTTTATAATTGATTTTATTCATTTCAGTTTATCACTTTGCAATTTTGAAGGCTCCTACCTAATCAATAAATCAGACAAAACAGAATAATGAAAGAGACATTAGGACTTGAGAAGACATAGAATTAGATTTAGTATATTTTGATTGCTATTTTCATAAATGAATCCGACCAGGGTTCTATACTGTATTGTATCGAGAGAAAATAGTTGTTAATTGCTGAAATATGTACTTCATTATATATTTTAACGATTCATGAGTACTCATTTTTTATATATATATATATATACATATATTTATTTTCATGTTAAGCGTCTACTGACAAAAAGGAATATCTTCTAGATATAAGATATTATAAAAAGAATTAAATAAAACGTTTTGCTATAGTCGAAAAAAATCTGAAAAATTCTCAATTTTACTAAGTATTCTTTTTAGGCTAATGATGGCCTTCCTGAAAATAGGAGTTGTTCCTTTGTGTCTGTCGACGACTCATATGGTTACGGTATCTTCCTTCATCCTCATAATTTAACTTAGACGCTAATCTCTTTTTTCTTCTGCTTCCAGGAGCCAACGGCCTCAGGAGGCGCGGCCGCCAGACCTACACAAGGTACCAGACGCTGGAGCTTGAGAAGGAGTTCCACACCAACCACTACCTCACCAGGCGGAGGAGGATAGAGATGGCCCACGCCCTCTGCCTCACGGAGAGGCAGATCAAGATCTGGTTCCAGAACCGGAGGATGAAGCTGAAGAAGGAGATCCAGGCCATCAAGGAGCTCAACGAACAGGAGAAGCAGGCCCAGGCACAGAAGGCGGCGGCTGCGGCAGCACTCGCCGCGCAGCAGCAGGATCACTAGGAGTTCTTCCACCTTCCCTTTATATTATAAACATTGTATAGTAACTCTAAAGACTTGTCGTCGTATTTAGTTCGATTGTTTTCGTTTCAACCAATTTTTTATTCTCCGATTTAAGTGTTTTATTTTTATAAATATTGTAATTATATGATGTGTCGCTGTGTATAAAAAAAAAAGGAATATTGAAAATTTTAAAAATAGATTATAATGATAATTGTTTATGGAATAATGAAGAAGCGGAGGTGTGAATATGAAGATTTTATTTTTTGTTTTTCAATTTTTGTTTTTTTGTTTGTTTTTGTTTTAAATTATTCTTCAACACTGATGAACGTCAACACGAAGAAAAAAAAGTTCCCTGTGTGTGTGTGAATGTGATGAGCCAGCCTAGTATGTGAATGTGTGTGTTAAAGTGTTTTCTGTGATGGAATCACATGGCATCCACATCTCTTCCTGGCCATCTATTATTATACACCAGGTAACTGCTTTGTTAATAATATATTTAAGAAATAAATGTACCTTATAATACTGTTTATTTTGTGTTTTTATTTTTATTTTCTTGTTTCCTTTTTTATTGATTTAACTTAAAGTAAAAACTGAAAAAAAAAAAAAGAAATCCCAACTTGATAATTGGAGATACATAAAAAAATATATTTAAAAAATATCAAATGAAAAAAAAAGAGAGAAAAGAAAAATTAATGCGAAACACATAGAAAACATTGTCGGTTTATTGCAAAAACTCAGCAAGTTAAATTTCATAACTCTTTAAATCACTAAGAACGTCAATGAATTTTCATTTTATGAAATCAGAACAGCATCTGTGTCCTTTTGGGTCACATATTTTTTTTTATCGACTAGTAAAAATGGAATTCACAAAAACTCTACTAAAAATATACTTTAGAGTGTGAATGTGCTCTCTGAACTCTATTATAAATGTCCTTAATTTTGACGGATAGTAAAAATTCTGAATAAAAAAGTTTAAAAAATATATATATATATATATATATATATATATATATATATATATATATATATATATGTATGCTTGGTGACTTTTTACAATAAACCGACGATTTAAATATATAACATTTTTCATATGGAATCCTCAAAAAAAAAAATAAATAAAAACAGTTTCCATATTTTTTTTAACATGCAAGAAATATTTCGGTACAATAGTATAAAAAGGAAAAAAAAAAGGATCAGTGAAAAAAAAATTTATTTGTGTGTGTAACATAAAATAAAAGTGTGTGTAACATTCCAAATATTTATAGCAGCAAGGATGGAATACAGGTAAGTGCCTTTTTTTATTATAACTTTTGCTTAGGTGTTTTATAATTTTAATTTAAAAATTAATTTATATCAACATTTCTTTTTTTTGGAAAAATCCGATTATTAATAATAGTATTTAAAAATCATTTTATTTTATTTGTTAAAATTTAATAAATTATCGACTGTTCATCAATGGTTTTGAGATGTTATTTGTCGCAAAATTTTCTTTCTGAATAATTGAATTTCAATCCTCAATTTATTCAAGGATATAATTTTAAAAGGCATAATTGTTCTCACTCAACAAATGTTTGCAGTTGTTTGGTAAATACAATTGGCCGGGCAGATACGAGGGCGGGGAAGCGTGCCAGAAACGAAGGCCTTAATGAGCACAAAATCGTATCAGGTGTTGGAGGGGGTCATTTAGAGGGGTTTTAGCCCCCTTGGAGGATACCGGGATAAGTTACAGCTTTGTGGCACGATATCTCGATGAAGGTATCTAATTGGTCCGACCTTCTGAAATCAATTTAAAATTATATGTATATTATAAATTTAACTTTTTTTTTTTTGAACACAAGAAAGAGTAAGTTTCGAAAGGAGAGAAATGTTCAACAGTTTAAGAAATCAAAGAAGAAAAAATGTTTTCCCGATTCCGGCGTCCTTTAACTGTCGAAAATAAGGACAACTAAAAACAACGATAAGGATTCAAATAATTATGAGGGCTTAGTTTTTCACGTTAAAACATTTTCCTGAAAGCAGACAAGAACATTTCCTGAGAAATGAATTATTCTAAATATTAATTTACAATATAATATATAATTTATTTTAAAAAAAAATGGATATTCTTAAAGTTTGAAATTAATTAAAATTAATTGACGAAAGAGACATATTAAAAAAATATTCTATATTTTAAGATAATTAAAGAAACAAAATTCAGTGCAGGAATTTATATCCTAAATGACAAAGTTTTCTGATCCCCCAGCATATGATCAAAGAGTACAAACAGAAGGGTAAATTCAACATTTTTTTTTCTTCATACCTTTACAAAATTTGCATATGTGTATTGAAAATAAATACGTATGTACAAATATATGCTAAAAGTACATTAAGTCCTTAGATTGTTCTTTTAGAGTCGGCAGCCCGAGGTTGCAAGTTCTGCTACGTGCTGCAACATCTCCCAATCAATGAGTGTAGAGGGATAACTTTACTATATCAACAATTATTTTAACAACAGTTTTAAATGAACTTATTATTAGTATTTGAAGCAATAAATATCAGAAATATTGTATGAAGGACAAGAATGAAAATAAGATACGTTGAATCTCGCTTCTGATAGAGAGGGTTATTTTTTTGTCCATATAACAGCAATTATATCATAAATCATAAAATATTTATTCCAGATTATAGTAATTTGTAAAATATAACGAGTCTGATATTTTCCCTTGAAATTAATGATAGCCTTACATCATACCGGTGAGATATCTGTGTAATATCAGAAAAAAAATAATTGCCTTAGACTGTCGGTGGCGGAAACCTAGTTCAGTGATTTCTTAAACAGTGAAAGCATCGCAAGATATTGTAGTAACAACTTAATTATTTTGCATCGATCATAAAACATAAATAAATTTAGATTTAGTTCAATTAAGTTAATTACATAACATCCTAAAAAAATAAAAACGGTACATGATGTTAGGTAATATTTTGATTTAATACCTAATTATATGAATATTTTCGACATTAATTTATTTTAGAATAAATTGGTTTAAATAAATTAATAAGCGGTCGAACAAGTTCTTTTATTAGAAAAAGCAGTTTTTTATGAAATAGTTTCAACATATCTTGTTAGGGCTTTATCTGCTTGAACTGTGACCCCTCATGGTCTTTGAAAGGTTAATTTTGTTCCACGAGGAAAGGTTAATTAGATTACAACAAATATTTATTTATTATTTATTTTTACTGATAGGGGAGAGTGTGGTTAAAAGCCACCTGGGTAAGTTGTTCAGAGTGAGGTAGCTCCAAAACGAATAGAGATAAATATAAGTCTAAAGTATGTTCCTAAATAGTAAGAAACATTGCACCGACGACCGCCATATTAGTCAGGGCAGTGATAATATGCTCCTAATTATAAACATTCATTAGCTATATTACCGATTAATTGCAAAGTGGAATAATGTGTAACCTGAAAGTTCAACTTCAGATGTGAAGTAATTATATGAAATGAAATTAAATGAAAAAATAATTTTATTATGGGACTACTGTCCCCTAAGAATAATAACAGAGTTACATAGTAGTCTGACATAGTAAAAATACCAACTAATTTGTAGTTAATTGTTATTTCAATTGTGCAATGGATTGAAATTAAACATTGTATAGATGCAAGTAATTTTACATATTAGGGGAAGTTTGAATGTGGAGTAGGTGTTGGAACAGGAGTTGTTTGAAGGAATTTGTGGATGAGGATTGACTGATTGCATTTTGTGGATGATATAATTGCATGGAGGTAGGGAGTGAGTTCCATAAGGAAGCAGCACGAATGACGAAGGATTTGCTGAAGGAGGAAGTTTTATGGGAGGGAATATATAAGTATATAGGTTGAGACCTAGTATTGAGAGAGTGGATAGAGGAGCGCAGATTAAGGAGTTCCAGGATGTAGGGAGGGTTTTTGGTTCTGAAGACTTGGAAAAGGAAAACGCCAAGAAGGAATTGTCGTCGGGAAGTAGGAAAAAGCCACTTCAACTCGGTGTACCATAGTGAAACATGTGAACGCCTGGGGATCCCGAAAATGTATCTTATAAAACAATTCATGAGTCTTTTTAGTCTCATTTCCAGCCTAGCAGATAGCCCTCCATACACCAAACAGCCGTAGTCGAAGTGCGTTAATACAAGGGAGGTTACAAGGAGCTGTCTGGTTTTTAGAGGAATACAATCACGAAATCTTAGGAGTTGTTTAAGGGCAGTTATGGATTTTCGAGTAATCTGGGAGATATGGATTATCCCAGGAGAGGTTCTGGTCAAAGGTTACTCCTAGGTTTTTGACTGTAGGGAAAAAATGGATGGGATGGTTATTGAGGTAAAGTAGAGGAAAGTAAGGAAGGGAGCTGATGAGATGTCTGGACCCGATGATAATAGCCTTGGTTTTATCTGCATTCAGCTTTAATTCATTTATTTCTGCCCATCTGTTGATGCAGTCGATGTCCTGTTGTAGCCTCCGGGCAGCCTCAGGCATCTCAGAAGGTTGGAATGATTGGTATATTTGGAAATCATCGGCATATAGGTGGTAATTGGGAGTGTTGAATGGCGTTAGAAAGGTCACTAGGAAGGTCGTAAGTACAGAATAGGAGAATTATATTTTTTGTTTCATGATTTTGTCAAAATTACTTCACACTGATTTGACTGAATGCTACTAAGATATTGTTGATTAGTCTTTAAATAAATACGTTGCAAATCTTTATTTTTTTCATCATCTATATTCCCAACAGAATTAGTAACAACGTATCCCAGTTTATAACAACTAGCCCAAAGTTGGGGGTAACCTGTATTTTTTTGTTTTCCTATATACTAAAGGTATACCCAAAAGTCTTTCAGATTTATAAAGAAGGATATGTGTACAAACTATGAGCTAGCATAAATTTTGTGAATGGATCATTTTCTAAATAATATTTGAGGTGGTTTAAAAAACGGGGCTTTTACTCTCTCCCCTTCACAGCTAGTTTCGGTCCTTAGCATAAATTGGTATAACG